GGTTACATTGGTGGCCCTTTTATGGCCCAATTTTGCTTACACACAGAAATCCCAAATTGAGCTCGTAAACCCTAACAATGGTGAAACTCCATACAAGCCATGAAAACAAAATTAAACCATACAGAAAGTTTGCATATGTCTCATGGATCAACAATATATAATTATTTCATCATAATAATGCCTATATCATGAGATTCAAATTCAAGAAATGTATGGTATCGTGATGGACTTACAGTGGGATTTAAGGCTTGAAAATGCTTGGTTTCGATTGCTTTGACTTGTTGAGACTCCCAGGAATCGATTGGGATTGCTAGAAGGCCTTGAGGATGCCTGGAATACTGAATTTGATCTCACACTTTTTCATGATTTTTTTTAGTTTTGCTCTGCTTTCCGCGCCTCTTTCTAACATCCTTTTTGAGTCTGCACGCACTCTATATGTACCAATCAATGTATTAGGGTTGATAAGTTGTATTCAATATTCCTCCTTCAATGATTTGGATTGTGATTTGATACACTTTGAAAACTTTCCAAAATTGATCCAAATCCAATCTTTTTTTGCACACATGCCTTGATACGAGTTTGAATGTTTGCTAGTTGTATAATAAGATCTGAAACAAGCATAAAATCTTTGGTTTTTAATACTTTGGATTTTATATGATTTGTTTTGATTTAAATTGAATTAATTCAAATAAAAATCAAAATAAATAATAAAAATAAGATATGGACAAGTGTCCAAGGCTAAAGCTCGTGGACTATGTTGCCAACTCAAAACAAGTGAAAAAGATTGGGCCCATTTGGCAAAAATTGAAGTTTTAGGGATAGTTGACTTTTGGCAATGTTGCAAAAAAGGTCAACTTCACCAATGCATAACTTCCTCAATTTTGACTCTTTGGAGGTGTTATTTGACTTCATAGAAATATTGAGATGTCCTATAATCAACCCTTTTGGTTTCATCGCATTTTGATATTCCATGCTCATGTATGAAGCTTTGACAGAAAAGGTGTTTTTGTTGACTTTTCAAAATGACCTATAATGTCCAAATTCATAACTTCTTGTGAGTGTATATTTTGAACTTGGGAGCTAAAGATTTATTGTAGGGGGTTGCATCCTATTCAAAATGATCTATGGATGGGTCATTTCTCATAAAGTATGAGAAAGTTATGCTTGGTCAAAGTTATGTTGACTTTTCCTGCAAAACCCTAATTTAGCAACTTTTGGGTCTTGATGAATTATAAGCAATCCTTGATGAATCATGATCAACCCTTGATCAAATTATGAAATAAACTTCAAAATGAGGATGTTGACCAAAAATCTTGAAGTTTGACTGTATGTGGGCCACAGTTGACTTTTGCCCTAGCACAGTTAATTTTCAGGCCTTTGAGCAATTGACTGAGCAAACTTCCTCTGCAAGGCTTGAACCTTGACATGGAAGATCTTGATAATATATTAAGACATTTGTGAGCATTTGGGACCCCATTGGACTCAAGTATCTTGATGCAACATGAAACCCTAATTTGAGGTAGACTGTCTTAGGAGAGAGCTTGTCTGGCCAACCCTTGGACTACCTTGAGCAACTTGAGGATCTTTCTTGAAATGTTTTTTTGAGAAATATGGGAGGGAAAATTTTGGGGTACAACAGCTATAAGAGTTGTATATAAAGTAGATGGTGGAGATGGTTAAACAACCGGCTGAAAATCATCAAACAATAAAGTCGCCATCGAATGTGTTTTATCATACATGAAGGGAAAGGTAAACATCGAGAAAACCTGAGAAGGTATAAGTCACTATCTTACGACCCAGAGATCGGGTAACGAAGTTTGTTACGTGAGGGGAAGGTATTAGCACCCCACACGCCCGTAGTACTTGATGGTATCCACTCTTGTTGTCTATCTTATGGGTGTGTTTAATATATGCTTACTGTTTACCAATGAAGAAGAGTGCATGCAAAAGGAATGAGAAAAGAATGTAAGGAAAATAAAGCTGTACTCGCTTGGGCCCTACCCCAATGCCCACGTATCCCCTTTGAGGAATCAGAGCTACCGTAGTTCGCCTCACATGTTTTTGTTTGTTTTTGTGTTTTTTATGGATGATGTCAATTTTGCCTTCTGCCGCAGCTCGACCTTTGAAGACTTATGCGTTGGCACAAAAGTAAAGTAATAATGTCCTTACCTGAAAAGGATTAGTATGTTGATTTTAAAACTTGTGTTATTTACCTCCTAGGTTACGGTAAATATCCAAGGTCTACGATCTCTTGTTTAGGTATTGGTCAATTATCTGCGTCATCGCACCTAAGTCAGATCGAAACTTATGTTCAAACTCTGGTATAATGATACATCATCATTTGTGGAACGTTGTATAACGTATCCTTATCTAGATAACTTTTGATCAAATTTTTAAGTTTTCTATTATTTAATAAACCTTCGATTCAAATGTGCAAGACCTGCGTGTTCTCGCACCCTCAATCGAAAAGTAATTAAATAGGGGCAATTGTCATACCAAAATTTTTTCCTATCAATTCAATAGTCATATTATTACTATATTTCTAATTTAATAGTCATTGTTATTTAACATTGTTTTCTTTGAATATTTTTTATGGGGGGGGGGGGGGGGGGGGGGGGGGGGGGTTTAATTCATGAAAAGGGGTGCATTATTCCAAAATGGGACATCAAAATCTAATGGCCCATTAAGCTATAAAATCCATTTCAAAAGTAAAAGATGGGGGGTGCATTTCTATAAAAGGGTATTATGTTTCAAGTGGGGCATCTAAATCTCATGGCCCATTAAGGTCTAGTTGAGATAGCAAGGGGGTGTGTTTTAAAATCATTTATCCCATCAAGGTTTCGTTGAGGCCCATTTATAATAACTAGAGAGTGCATTTTAATATAAGGGCCCAGAGTTGTTTTCTTGAATGGGCCATTAGAAGTTTTTAGTAACATTGTGAAAGGTTTTGTTAACTGAGGTCAAGATTCGTTTAAATTATTATTTATTTATTAAGAAATACATTTTTTATTATTTTGTTATTTTTATGTTTGTTTTGATTGTTGACCAAGTCAACCAAATACAATTAGGGATTTTTTGAAACCGTAATCCTCTCACTCAACAGCGTTGTTGTTCTTCATCAAATACACTATGCTTAGTCATCAAGCCCAAACGCAATGAACATGTATTGTACAGATAAAAAATAACCGCATATTCATCAAATACACTACACTAAGTCATCGGTCACCAATTTCTACTCACTTTCCATCAGTTATTTGGTAAAAATCCATCCAATCGATAAACTTTGGTTTGTCTTTTTATCGTTTTATTTAAGATATTTCATATTTCGAAAATTTGTCTTTGCATGTTTTTAATTTGAAGTTTATGTTAATTAGATGTTTATGATGTCTTGATTTGGTAGTTGTTGGTGATTTCAGGTGCAAGTGAAAATCTCCAAAGAATTTGTGCAAAGACGAAAGAAATCTGGAAGCTACATGAGTCCTGATACGACCACTCGTGTCACCTGACATGGGCCGTGTCAGGAGAAAAGGAAAAAGTTGAAGATGGGAACACGAGAAAGACGCTGACATGGGTGCCCGTGTCACACGACACATTGTAATACCCCAAATTTTTCCTACCCTTTCACTTTTATCTGGCTTATGCATCATTCATTAATCAATAAAATATGGTATGTGATCAAAGATATTGAGGAATTAGGGTTTCTATATTCTTTTAAGCTCTTATCTTCACTCATGTTTAAATCAACTGGTTTTTTCTTTGATTATGATTTATGAAGCTAGGGTTTTATATTCATATTCATTGATGACTTCTTCTTTCATAAAAATTCTTCATCAAGATGCCTCAAAAGAAAGTGGATTAGGTTTATGATAATGACATGGTTTCTTACAACACTTCAAAGGAGGATGTTGTGATCTAGGGTTTTGTTTCAACAAGTACTCTCATTAATCAGGGATAGAGATTCACTTCTTTATGCTATGTGGTAATCATAAGGATCTTAAGGGTTTGGTTTCATGGCTTTCATGCAACACATTTCTCATATCTAGGGTTTCTTTTGTTTATCATTATAGAAAGTTTGGTTGACTTGGTTATTTGCATTGCAAGACAATATTGTGGATTTGATGCAAGGATTGAAATTTATTTGTTGTCTTATGAACTGTTTCAAGTTTGAAGGCATTGGATAATTTGAAAGTCCATTTTTAACTCTTAGGCTTTTCATATGTGATTTTCTCTAAAGGTGCAAGAGTGAATATGTTCTCATTTGGTTAGAAAGTTAACTCTTGAAGGATGACTTTTGTAGGCCAAGTCATATGGATTTTGTTCGAGTACTTTGCCATTACCGCAATTCCAGACATTCATTCAGATTTGTATTTCGCATTTGGAAGTATTTAATCATGAAGAACATTGAAGTGAAAAAGGAAGGAAAAAGACTTTCAAATTTCATTTGAAGAAAGATAGCATTACTATGTACATTACATGATCAATGCCATTAAACATTTCCATATCCTTTATACAAGTTACATAGAAACTACCAAAAGTTACAAGTTATACCCTAAGCTAAACCTATTGTCTTAAATATCCAAGCCTTGCTTCATCTTATAAGCTTCCATGAATCCATTTTTGGGTCATTCTTAAAATTCCAATTATGCCTCATGTTCCAATCTAATGTGTCCAATTTTACAATGAGATAACCAAAACCTGCATTCCAGTTAACAAAGCAAAAAAACAATTCATCATGTATTACACCAAGTAGTCATAACTGCGAACCAACAGAAAAAAACTTAAACAACTTCATAAAACCTTATGCAAACTTATCACCAACATGATTGTACCAATTACGCCCTGAAAAAATAGTCCAGCAACCATGCTCATGCAGAAAACTATTGAGTTTGAAAGGTAGAAAATTGAATAAAAACAAACAGAAAAAACTAAAACCGGTTCGAGTTCCTTACAAAACCAAACATTAATCGGCCAATAATGCACCGTATCATCACCAAACAGCCATGCCGCAATTTGGAATTCACATGGTAAAAGAAAAATCTGGACATAAACACAGGACAAGGAAATTAAATCAGAAGATAACGGAAAACTGCAATAGAGTTTCACGACAAGAAAATAATTCAAAAGCAGGTTTAATATTAGTTCAATTCAGAAAATACATACACGTTCTCTATCAAATTCATATTTCAGAACCTATAACAGAAATCGTTCACAGTATAAGGGGATGAGAAAACAGAACTGCCAGTTAAGCTACATAACAGGAAACATCAGAATTCGTTTGCCAACCTCCAACTGACTTTCAAGCATCCCAAAAAAACTCTTAATGGATACTAACTTTCTCACTAACAAACCCCTATAACAGGGAAAGCTAACTGTCATAATAAAAAAGGACCCAAACCTCTAACAGCCTTTAACAGATCCTAACAACTAACTGTTAACAGAAAGTAAATCCTAGCCATTTCTAACCATAACCCCTAACTTCTCAACAAAAATACATATGATATAACAAATTGGAAGAAAAAAACAGAAAAGTGAGGAAAAAGGAATACACGATTTCAAAGAAAATACAAAAAAACTCTCAAAAATTCTCAAAAGTTCCCTCTTCATTCTCTCTTCATTATTTTTGAATTCTCACGGAATTCTTCATCAGTTATCCATTCTTCATCACTTTGGAGAATCACTGCAATTTTTGAAAATCTCCACTATTCAATAACCATCTCCGCCACCATTCATTCATGAGGATACCTCTTAACTTTCTCTGCACTCTTCCTCCGAGTTCTCTCTGGAACAACCTAACGATACCTTTGCTTCTCCCATCTTCAATCACTAATCATGTGCTTCTACAATCCATGGTTCCATATGCAACCTCACAACATAACCTTTATCATCTTCAAGCTTCATCTTCACGCGGTTTTTTGCATCAGCGTCAACAACCACCAAACGCACAATATTACGGTGCAAATGAACCACAACATGTTCGTGACTCACATAGAAACAAGATCGTAACGCGAAATTAAAGAGCAGAAGAGGATAGAAGAAGAAGAACGAACAAATAAAAAGTAAATTATTACCTCATCTATGGTTCTCTAAATATCTCTTCTTCAAATCCAGGTTCAATATCTTTCAGTTTCTTTGTGTAATTTGTAATTGTGTGAGTGTAGTGTTTTTGTCTTTTGGTGTTCGTACTTATGGATCCGGAAATCCAAGTGTTGAAATCAGAGATGAGCACGACCGAGAATCGGATCATGAAGGTTAAATCGTAGATGAGATTGAAGCTTGTGCAACCGGTCGTACGGATTGGATTTTGAATAAATGGGAATCTGTGAGAATCAGAAACGATGAAGGTGATGATTAGTGAATCTTGCAGCGAGATCGAGAGATGGCGAGAGGAGAAGTCATCGCGGCCGTTTGAGGGATAAGAGGACACGGCAACAAGATATTGGTGAAGATGGTCATGACGCAGGAGGGACAAATTGAACGATCGGAGAAGGTTATGCTTTCGTCTGCGTCGCGAGTTGAAAATGAGGAAGAGAGAAGTTCTGGTTGCTATGAGAAGATGAAATGTCACAAACGCTTAACCCCAACATCACCTCAAAACGCATCGTTTGTAGCTACTTTTTTTTAATGTGAAATAAAAATATGAGGATGTGTATAGAAAAGAGAAGAGTTTGATCATAACTGTCATTGTTCTTTGGACTGAATCACAAACTTCTAAGCCCAGGCCACTGACTTCTGGATTTTGGAACCCAATGAAAATGCTGGAAAAAAAACCCTTGGTGGACCTCACTACATGTTGGGCCCTAGCGCCCTGCTTCATCACAACCCCGGGATTTCAATTTTCACCCCCCTGAGCTCACTAACTCTTTGTTAAGTTTAAGACCTTTTCTTAGTTTTTTAATATATATTTTTATTGATTGAAAAAATAAAAAATCAATAAAACTTAGACCTTTCTTAGTCAATTTTTGTAGGAATCAATTCTTTAATTTTTTTAAAGAATTTTTTCGCACATAAAAACTAATAAAAATACTTTTTCTTTTTAGTTTTTTTTCTCATATTTTCATACTGCTTCGCCTTGTTATTTTTTGATGTGTTTTCTCATTGTGAAAGGTACACTCTTTTTGCTTTCAATCATATTTTCATACTCTTTTTTGACGTGACACGCCTTATTTCTAATTTCCCTGAGAAATTCGTATCATATTATTTGTTGTCCTGATACATGTGATATTTTATGATGCTTTGTGCAGGAATTTCTGATTACGTGTTGCATTTGCAACATGCGTTTGCTTTTATCTTAGTTGGATATTGTTTCTGAATTTTTTTTTATTGGTGAAGCTTGCTCAACACGTAATCCCTGCTTCTCTAAGGATCTCGTCTGCTTTTAACGACTTGCTTGCTTGTGGTAGTCGCCGCTTCTACTTGCATACTTCCTCACACTTTACCACTTTTCTAGAAATCATGAGAAGTAGGGCTTTACTGCTTTCTGATTCCATGAGAAGTATGGTAGAGATGTATGACAGGGGTCTCTTTTGCTGATCATTTCAGGAACCATCTGGTTTATTTAAAGACCCGTTTAGGGCAATTATGCATTGTTTGCATTTTGTTTGCTACTTGTGTGTGGTTTGTTTAAAACCCTGCCTTTGAGTAGGTATTCTGCATGTGTGTTTATATTTGTGCCCACATTATTCACCCATCCCTTATTGAAGTCCTCAAAAAGAGGCGAGCGGGGAGGATTCACAATCAACCCCCGCAATTTCGTCTGTGTCATCCTTAACTCGGGATGCACCACAAAGCTTTAGAGTTATGCCTACTCTTGAGTACCAAGTCGTCAAGTGGGGAAGGGTTCTGCAATCGAACCCCCATGCTTTATCAGGAGTTCGTGTTGGCTGATGATGATACTTTGTGATTGTTCATATTGCCTTCTGTCGCCTACCTCGATCTCCTATATCTTGGTTAGGTTTTCATTCGCTTTGTATGTCACATTTTTGTTATACATCTCACACCCGCTTGTTTGTCTTTGGTGATACGCTCCCCTTGGCTAAAGCATTTCACTTCTTTTCCTTACTATTTTATGTGTGTGCTCGTTTGAGATTGTTTGTTTTATCCTTGTACATACCATGTTCCATTAGGATACGCTTGTTCCTTTCGGATGCAAGTTAGACCTTAGGTTGCGAACCACACATGCTAACATTAGGTAGAGATTTCCCTTTCATCCTTGACGTAGGGTTACCATTGTATGATAACATTAGGTTTAGAAATAGGCTAGTCCCCGTACACTCTTTTTCCCTTTTGGCATCCTTGCATTCAAAACTAAAACTTTTCCTTAGCAAACCATAAAACATGCTAATCGTACCTAAACCCTTTTTTAAGGTAACAAAATACAAACCAACTCAAACCTTTTTGCACGTCCAAGCACGTTTTCTCTAAAACCCTTTTCAGGTAAGGATATGATTAATTTACTTTTGTGCCAACGCGTGAGTCTCCAAAGGTAGAGCTGCGGCAGAAAGCAAAATTAACATTTTTCATAAAAAACAGAAAACAAACGAAAACATGTAAGCCGAACTACAGTAACTCTGATTCCTTAAAAGGAATACGTAGGCATTGAGGTAGGGCCCAAGCGAGTAAAACTTTATGTTCCCTACATTATTTACCCCTTTCTTTTGCATGCATTCTTCCTCAGAAAACAATAAGCATATTTTAAACACACCCATTGTATTAGACAACAAGAGTGGATACCATAGAGTACTACGGACGTATGGGGTGCTAATACCTTCCCTCCCATAATAGACTCCCTTACTCGATCTCTCGGTCGCAAGACTGTGACTTCTCTGTTCTCAGGTTTTCTCGATGTTTACCTTTCCATTCACGTGGGATAAAAGATGTTCGATGGCGACTTCATTATTTGATGATTTTCAGCCAGTTATTTCAGCTGGCGACATCACTGGGGAGAGGTCGACCAATTACTGGTCCATCCCGGAGTCGATCCTAGCTCGTGTTTTCTTTTTTTGGGTGTTTATTTTTTATGCTTTCAGTTTATTCATCCATACATAATTACCTGAGCATATATATGCATTGCACTTTACTGTTTTCCATATATTACTGTTGTACTGGATCTTCTTCTTGTTGGGTGGGTGTTACTATGAGGTAAAATGCCCAATACCCAGGCCAAGTGACAAAGAATAGGAACACTAGGAATAGAGTGGAACACGACAGATAGAGGATGTAGATTACCCTAGACGGTTGTATCGTCCACACTCATATGAAGTTTTAATGAGCTGCTTTCATTATCAGGTAGGTTTACGATGATAGTACTCTCAAGCGAACCCGTGATTTTGAGTTACCATTGCCTTACCCTAACTCAGACGATGACTATTGGTTCTAATGGTTATGTTTTGAATTTCTGTCGGTGACTATGAGGTTCTTAGATTCTTTTTCCGAGTTCTGAATCTGTTTATGAGGTTCTTCGGTTTATGTTCCGAACCTGTGACCTTGGTACTAATAAACTATGCAGAGACAATACAATAGAAATCGATAACATGGAAATAGTAATCGCATGATCATTTGCACTTACATCATAGCATGTTCAAAATAAATGTCAGAAAAAATGATGAAACTATATACTAATCTTGCATTTGTATTTCCATTTCGGGGTATCTCATGAAGTTATGGTTTCCGTCAGTAATATCTAGAAACAGTGATGTTCTAAAGAGGACTAGAAGAGAAAATTTTACTTATCAGTTCCGCTCAAGTTCATGGCCTTCTTTGAGGAGTTTGAAAGATCGTTTGGTCTTCCCTGATGCAGGGCCTTTTTAGTGAAAGGCATGGTGGTACTTTGACTATACTTCAGTTTTATGACTATGAGTTATGTTGTTTCACCATCCAGGACTATCAGGATGCTTTGACTTCAGAAGAGTACTCTTATTTTATCAAAGATCACCGAGCGAAAATTTGTTATTGTTCCGCACGAGCCCGATTTGAAGCTATTGCTAAGGAACTTTATTTGGACCTTAGTGATGTGAGATAGAGACGGTAGCCTACCCCCATACTTCTTGGTAATTAAAGAATAAAGATTGTACTTGGTGCACTTTCAATGCATTGTGAATTGATGTAGTCTATGACAACGTTAAACAAGAAGATTAAAAATTTTAGAAAGCTTGTTAAAGGCAATAATGGGAGAAAAAACGTTTGCTGCAAACACAGAGTATGTTGATCTATTGACTAGATTCCGTAGTATGGATATCATGATGATTTAGATGGATGAGGTGTTTCAAAGTCTGATTCTGAATACTTGGGGCATAGTCTGTTGCAGTCTTTAGAGCTAAGAGATTGATTATTGTATTGTTATTCCGATTACCTCCAGGACTGTTGGACAAAATCTCTTATCTTATACTTTTGCAACTTTCTTGTATTTAACTCCGCGAGAATTTCTCCTATTTTTGGATAGTTTCTTTATATGGCTGTTCTTATTATCATGTTGCTCGGATATTATTGACGTTAATTGAACTGTGAAAAAACAAAATTTACAATCATTTCATACATCATACATATCATGCATTTCATGAATTATAGGTTTTAGGATGGAATTCTTATCTGATGGTTTTTCCTCTTATTACCAGAATCTACAAGACGACTTCCTTACATCCTTATTGTACTAGATCCACCATGTTGAGGATTATGGAGCAGATTGAGCAGAACCAAGCCTCCCTCCACAAAGACATTGACACCATGGCTGATCGAATGAATTAGCTCACGGAAACTCTTCATGTTGTCATTCAGGGGCAGGAATAGCTTAGACTGAGTGTTACTAAGCTGGTTGGCAGTCCTTCTACGCCCGAGAATGGTGGATCCAGGAATGAAAATGGGGGAATTCCTAAAGAGAACCCACAGTTGATTATGGATGACCACTATGATGACATTGATCTCGATGGCCCTCTAAAGGATTCTACAACTGATTTGTCTGAAACTACTAAAACGTACAAGGCTTTAGAAGAACGTTTGAAGGCCATGGAGACTTCCAAAAGGTAGGGATTCAGTGATGCTGCTATGTGTTTGGTTCCGAGGGTCATGACTCCACGAAAGTTGAAAGTAACAAAATTTGATAAGTATAAGGGAGTTACATGCCCAGAGACTCATCTCCGATCTTACTGTAGAAAGATGGCCGCTTATAACCATGAGGGAGTGTCGTATGCATTCCAAGTGTTTTTCTTCTTTGCAGGAAGCCACTCATAACAGTCACCCTGGACAGCATACAAAGCCTCC